TGAACTGAAAATCAGCTTATCTGTGGCTAGTATGCACATCAGGCAAACCCAGAATGCAGTTTGCTTTGTTTTGAATTGATATGCTGTATGAACCACCAATTGTGGCTTGTAAACCATGGTGTATGTTTAAAGTATGTTGTGTGAGCCCCGCCAATGTGCTTTACTAAATAAGCCATGGCTAAGCAAACTACATGGCACGATGTCTGACTTTCCAAGAAGCTTATAAGTGTTAACTGGGTACATAATTATTAGAAAATAACAGAAATATGGAAAAAGTTTGTTTAATCAGAAATGAGCCCCTTTCTCTATGCTACAACCTGAACGCAGCACTCCCCATACAAACAGCAACCAAACATTATGAGATACTGAGATGGCAGCAATACTGATATTTTTCATTTTAACACAATTTCTTCCTTGATACTGGCATACGTCAATAAGATTAAAACCTATAAAGTAACCTTATTTTTAGCTACAAATCTACAAGAAGTGCCTGGAAAATGTTTAACTCAGTGGCATTTTATATGCCAGCTTTCTGAATGCATGGCACTTACTGTTTAAAGTAAACTGATGAAATCCAGTTTATTGTATTCCTGTCTTCAAAGGGTGATTAGGTGTTTGACTAACAGAGTTTAAAAATCATTTCTGATCCTTTAACTTCTTCAGGAGCCTCAAGAAGTCATTCAGACTATCCCCCTTGCGGTCTCAGAACAATGGTATCAGATTCAAAGTGAGTGCCCTTTCTGGTTCCTGTATCTTTGCCAGCAGGGTTTTATATAAATAGAAACAAAAGGAAATACAAACACTCAAAGCAACTGAGCATTTTTCCAAAGCTGCCTAATCAAACTACCAATCAAAAAGCACAACCATTTAGTACAAGTTATTATAATTAAACAGCTGACCTACTAGCAAAAGCCTTATTGATTATATTTTAATCCTACAAGAAAGAGGCAAACAATTCAAGATCTCTTTTAAGTATGTCTGAATTTATTTATTTATTTTGCAAGCTACTGTTACTCCAAGGCAGTGTTTCTCAACCTTAGCAACTTCAAGACGTGTGGACTTCAACTCCCAAAATTCCCCAGAGCGCAAAATAAAAAATCAGACCACCACATACTGAACCCTTCTGATGCCTGTGGGTGTGTTACGGGATCCACAGTGATACCATGAGGCATCGACTACTATGAGGTTTAGTTATTGAAAGACTCCAGAAAGTTGTCCATGTTTCGCAAACAAACACCCAAATAAAGCACATCATAGTTTCATGTTCTTACTGGAAATGTGGGTGGTCTCATGATACAATCCACTAGCATGTCATAACTTACTGAATTCTCAGAGTTTAAGAAAGACAGGATTAAATTATGAGAACGATCTAGTTATACTTTGAGATTCCCCTCAGGTTAAGGCTACGGCCCTTGATTTATTGGAGAGGAAAACATGCAAAGGAGAAGGACGTGTTTGGGAGAAGTTTTTCTGCAGTTTATAGACCCTTTTAGAAGAGATACTTGTTTAAGAACTCTTGCTGCTATTTTTTTAACCAGTCAGTGCATCTCTCATATATAAATTTGTGAGACCAAGAACAATTGCAATAATTTGTGTTCTATATAGTACAGAATTGGCAAACTTATTCTAAAAGCAAGTACTTAAGGTGGGGATTAATGAGAAAAGGAAAAATTAGGAATGATTCCAAATAAAAATAAATCGTATCATCACGCTCTTTATACTTTAGTTATTAAGGATAAAATCAATGCTTGGCTACCTTGGTTTAAAAATAATTTGACTTTTTAATTTCTTAATAAGCTTCAAAATTCATTCACAAGCTATCCCCCATGTTCACAGAACAATACCTGACTTGTCAGAAACCAATATATGAAATGAGTAGTATTTAATTCAAGTAGACCACATCTCCCCAAATATGGTACGAGTATTAAGTTCCTTAAACTTGATTAAAGAAACAGACGTTACCAGCTAATTTTGTAGTTCTTTTAAATCAATTCTATTGATCTACATGTTTCTATCACTAAAATGTTTTCAGTCCCTTCCATTATACTATAAATAATAAAGCAGGGGAAAAAAATCAGAGACAATATTCCCTTCCAGAAAGGATAAAACAGGTTAATCAGTGGAGACCAACCTCCTTATTTATACACTATAATATGCTATCCCATGAAGCCATGGTTTATATGCTACAATGGCTAGGTTTACAAATCCAGTGCCAAAACCCAAACTTTATGGCTTAACATAATATAGGAAACCAGCCGTTAACTAAATCAGGCAGGCAACTATGAATGAGTCAAGCATCAAGTTATCAAAGTACTTTTACAGGCTTATAGGGAAAATGAGAAATTAAAAGAGAGGTAGTTTGCCTTTATTCATGAACAAAAGCTCACTTGTTTTTTAAGTAAGAGATCTGTAAATCTTTCATTTAGACATTGATTTTCCATCTACAGGTTCCATATAGGTCCCAGCTAGTTGGGTACAAGCCTACCTCTATTATATTATTATGGTTGGTCATACAGTCAGCCAGATGTTTAGTCTGGATTTGGCATTTTTATCCACTTATTGAGTCCTTCCCAAGGACCTGGGATAGGCAGATGGTGTTGTTGGATGGTGTTAAAGGTATTGTCACAGGATA